ATAGAATTATGCATGCTTTATGCACGTGTGACGGCACTGCTAATCATTACACTCATGATAGCTATAACTCCTGCGAGCTATTTATTTTGTCGGTCAAATTAAATTGAGAAACATCCATTTGGAGTATTTGACTGCTATAAATTTCCACGCGATAAGCCGTTGAGCTATTATTCGTGGTCAGGTCGCTTCTGAAAAATAGCTAATCGCTCAGTGGGCCTTATCTGGTAAAATAAAAAATTGTTTCTAGTTCTAAATTCCATTTGTTCTGTGCACACCGCGTCTTCATTCAACGACATTTGCTTTCTAAAATGTCACAGCTGACAGTACACCATCCTGTGTGAGAGAATAGCCCCAGAAGATGAATTTACAGAAATACATGAGAACTCGGTCTTCTCCCCGACACTGTTACCGACAACTTCTATTATCTGAAACAGCTGTGGGTCCATAAAAAAAACCTCCTATGATCCATAGACCTAGTTCTGCTGATGTGGCATATGATAGCGGACGATACGATTCATCTTCTTGGTTCTTTCGGTAAAGTCACGTAGAAGGTAAATAATAAAATAATAAAAATGAAAACATAATAAAATACAATTCTCACGACGTTTCGGCCACAACGCAAGCAGCCGTCCTCAGGTGAAGAACAGGTCATTCAGACGCTGTCTTTCCGACAGCCCTGTTCTTCACCTGAGGACGGCTGCTTGCGTTGTGGCCGAAACGTCGTGAGAATTGTATTTTTTTTTATTTCCGTTCTATGTGACTTTACCGAAAGAACCAAGAAGATGAATCCCTGCAGTCACGAAAGCTTTAAATCGAAACACGATTCTTGATAATGGTCCTGTACATCACCAAGGGGCCGTCCATAAATGACGTCACGCACCTGGGGGGGGGGGGGGGGTCAGACGTTTGTGACGACGTGTGACGAGGGAAGGGTTGAGAAATGTGACGTCACGAAAATTATGCGCAACTTTCAATAAATATATACAAAACGTTCTACTTAATTAAATATACTTTTTAATCAATGTTGTCTCCTACAATATCAGAGTGCAGCGGCACATTAAATACACAATACAATGACACTAGTTTAAAGCGATTTGAAGCATGTTATTATTTTGGGGGGGGGGGGGGGGGCAGAGCTTTGTGACGTCATATTTGAGGGGGGGGACTGACTTTTTGTGACACCGTGTGACGAGGGGAGGGGGGGGTCAAAAATCGTCCAAAATCGCGTGACGTCATTTATGGACGACCCCCAAGAAGACTGTACTGTTTATTGGAAGTCACTTTAGCTGCACTGGAAGCAGATTTGTACTACTCTGCTCATAGTGTTCACTTGCATGCCAATCATTTCTGAAAGCTGGAATTTGCCAAATTAACCCTTTCCCGTTCGGATACGCCTGCAAGTTGCAGGGTGGGGGTGTCCCGTTCACCGCTGAATCTTGGAATGTGCAATCGGCTCGGTGTTCACTTTATTTAGAGAAGCGTAGCGCCGTTGTTTTTAAAGACATTGTTACTCACCGCTGAGAACTGTAGCGACACGACCGCACTCTACAATAGCTGACGCCAAACTGTGCCACACGCCCTCACGCATGGCCTTTTATGGAAGTAAAACTGATGACCTACACATACGTCATCGTAATGGGAAAGGGTAAAGTGGAAAACAATATTTTATGATGTTTGATGTTTTATTGATGAGTCATTGATGACAGAGCTGAGACGATCAACTCACTACACCCGAAGAGGCTGGCCTAACCCACAGATTTAATGCTGGGTTATTGCCTCGATTTGAAAGGAGGATTTTTCGCTGTGCCAGATCAGTGTGCTGACGCTGAGGTCACCGCCATGAGCCGCGTGGGCCACATCACCACTACCCTTAGAAGTTACCTTGAAAAACCCCATTGACTGCAGTTTCTTGCGACGGATCTTTCAATTCGGCACTGGCACGCAAATCGGTGTTCTTGTTGTCAAAGACCACGTGGCTTATCCCGTGAATGTTCGGATTGACGTATCTCTCATAAGATATTAAGAGCGCCTTGAAGTTGAGAAAGTCGTGCTTTTTTATTAATGGGACTTTCAAACCCACCCACCTAAGCCCTTTGTAATTGAATGTTACACAAACTAATATTCTTTAGGTCTTTCTGTAAAATCACGTAGAATAGTTCAAAGAAAATAACAAAAAAAAACTACGACGTTTCGATCGCAACACAAGCGGTCGTTATCAGGAAAGGGGGGGGGTTAGCTTCTAAAGGCAAACTGTTTGTAAACGTAGCAGCCAATGTTAATGTAAGTGGTGGGCTGCTGCCAGGTAAAAATTAGCATGTTAATGGAACATCGCCTAGCAGCAACCTCGAGGTTGGCGCGCGAGGTGGCTGTCGGCGCGCTCGCCGTGGAGGCTGCTCAGCGATCTTACATTAACATGCTCGTTTTTACCTGGCAGCCCACCACTTACATTAACATTGGCTGCTACCTTTACAAACAGTTTGCCTTTAAATGATATTTTGTTATTTTCTTTGAACCTATCTACGTGAATTCTAGATTTGAAGCTTTCGTGACTGCAAGGATACATGCTCTTAGTTTTTTCGGTAAAGTCACGTAGGGAAAAAATGAAATAAAAATTAATTAAAATTTATACATTTTTATTACTTTTAATTAAAATGTTTTACCTATCTACGTGACTTTACCGAAAGACCCAAAGAACATGAATTCCTGCAGTCACGAAAGCTTTAAGTCAAGATTTACAACTAAATAACTTTTAAAAAAGATAAACGATTTGTTGCTATTCTGTATGATATTCACAATAGAGTTACATGTAGAAACGTTCTATGAACGTTGTAAATGTACAGCAAGCAATTGCTGGGCAGTTTCTTGGGGTCAGTCAACTCCAGCATTACTCTCTCGCCCCGATTTGAATGTGAATGCTTGCTCGACTTGACATTCCGATTCAATAATTATTGATCATAATCAATCCTAGTGCCGCCCTTCTTCATGTATCTAACATCCTGGTTAATGGTAGCACTTCGATTGGTCGCTGGCTTGACATGGTCTCATTACTTACGACGTGTAGAGATTGAAGGACATTGATTCTTACGCGTTGCAATTCGATGCATTAAACATGAGCTCAAGAATCATTAGCGACTGATGAATCCATACTTTTCTGAATACTTAACAATGATCCTCCAGGAGTGAGCAATGCTGAAGATGTGCATTACACTCCCGTGCAGGGGTATGGCGTTCATGTGTGCACCTTGGTTGACGATGCTGCGGTTGGCAGTGGTACACAAGTCCACGTAACGACATCTCAATGCATTCGTCAATTGCGCTGCCTAATAAAGAAAAATAATAGATAACAGCCGACATTTCAGGCAATGACCCTTTCTCCACGTACGTACGTATGGTGAACTTCTGTCGCACCGTACGTAGCCAACCGTACTAATCGGAGGCGCCGGGGGGGGGGGGGGGATACGAACGGGCAATATATTTCATCCTCGCAGTGGTTTTTGGCTGACCATCGAACAAAGACGGCATCCGCTCGCTTTCAGATGCCCTTCTGCGGCCGTCTGGAACGCTCTTCCTTTCGATATTAGGAAGCTACTGGAGCTACGCACATTTAAGTATCGATTGAAAACGAATTTCTTCATGACTGCTTTTTGTGTTAATGTTTATTGTCCTTCCCTGCACCTCCGATTAGCACAGTTGGCTATGTACAGTGCGAAATAAGTTGAACAAACATACATTTCACAGCACACATTTGTTATTTTCTTTTTTAACGGCAGTGTTACTGACAAATGGGTTAAGTTTCGTATTATCAAGTGTGCAGATGGTGGAACTGCAACCAGGACCCAGGCATGGCGCTACAAAGAGTGAGGACATTACCAAGGGACCCCATTCATTCCTAGCACACCAGGGCCCATGCCAACAGTGGTGCCGCACTGCATCGCAAGCACATGTTGGGCGCACAGGTGTCGCCGTGGGGAGATGTTAAATACCTCGCCTGGTATGCAGGAGGTCGTGGGTTAGATCCCGTCCCTAAGGCCTGCTGTATATTTGTAGTTTGCGTGTTTCCTTCCCAGTGGTCGTGTTTATTTTTCTCCGGGTCCCCCGGTTTTTCCCTACACATGTAGAAACGTGCGTTTGGAGTATTTGTCTGCTTTAAATTCCCACGTGATAAGCCACTTCGTTGAGCTGTCATTTGTGACCAGGTCGCTTCTGAAACAAAGCTCGAGAGCTCAGTGGACCTTACCTTGTGAAATAAAAAAAAGAGTTTAGTTTTTACACTATGAGACCTCCTTTACCAGTGGCAAAATATAGTGATAGGTTTTTGCCCTTTCAACTGATACAAAAACTGACACCTTGATACAAGGGTAAAAACCTATCACTATATTTTGCCACTGGTAAAGGTCTCATAGTCTAAATGCTTTCCCCGAGCTCTCAATACTCTGATAGTCTGCTGTATTTTAGTTGTATGCCTTTTGGTGTCATCTGGTCCAACACCAATGGAGACTAGGCTCTAAGAAAAGCTGTCTCGGGTGTGGACCAATCAACTTCAAGGACAGTGCATATCATTATCATTATGAGAGTTGTTTCTTTTTGTTTGCATTTTGACTGCTTGTGTTGTGGTTATTGAAAACATGATGCCTTGTATAAAGGTGTCAGTTTTTGTACCAGTTGAAAGGGTAAAAACCTATCACTATAGTTTCGTTTTTGTTTAGTTTTACAGGTGTGAGGCATAGACCGATAGTCTATACTACTGCTTAGGGTTTTTTTTACACTTGTGCTGCATCACTCCCCGACTTGTTTTCAGTTTGTACCTCGTGTCGCTCCACGTGATGTCCGTCGTTTTGAGTTCCCAAAGCAGCTGCCCGGCACGTGTGAGACAAACGTCGGGCATCGCGCCGAGCATCCGACAACCCGCCGGAGAGCTGCGTTTGTCGTGAAGGGGAGTGTGCGATTAAACGCAGGCGGTTGGGCGGTTTGACGTGGTTGTGTTGTGTGACCGTGCACAGGTGTTTCTAGCCCTACGCAATGGCTCCTTGCACGTGCCCTACCGGAACTCCAAGCTCACCCACCTCCTGCAGCCGGCCCTGGGTGGGAACGCCAAGGTTTGTCCTCTCACAGCACCACTCAACGTCAGCGAGAATTGTTGTCATGCGTCATGCATTAGCTTGGAGGGAACCATTTTAGGCGATTTCAACTATATTTACTTTAGCAGGTTTAGGCCCACTGAGATATTTAGCTCCTTTTTAGAAGCAACCAGGTCACAAATGACAGCTCCACGAAGTGGCACATCACGTGGGCATTTTATAGCAGCTCAAGTACTCTGAACGCACGTTTATATATGTGGAGGGAAAAAACTTGAGGAACAAGGAGAGAAACATCTACCTGACCACGGGGAGAGACATGCAAACTCCAAGAATAGAAAGCAGGCGTCAGGGTCGGGGTCTGACCCACGACCTCCTACATACCAGGGGAGATAGTTACCATCTCTGCTGGTAGTAAGGCCTCCACTGGGGCAAGCTCATGAGAGCCCCACTCGTGGCTATTATGACAAACCCTACAACAGGCCAGACATCTTGGACGAGGTGGGAATACCCACACTTTACCCCACCGCATGCAACAGCTTCCCCCATAAATTCCCTACTAAAATAATAGGGAGAAACTATATATGATAAAACATTTTAAATTCGATCCCTCTGCATGTCTTCCGTCAACCTCAATACATTTTGAACACTCTCCCGATCAGGGGCGGTTTCTTCATTAGGGCGATTGGGCGACGCACCACCAATGTCATTAAACCACAGAGTCACGCTAGCCGTCACTGTGCCTCTGGATATAGTCCAATCAGCGTCATGTCACGTTCTGTGGAGTACCGCCTCTTTTTGGGTGATTTCCCTCCGGCTGAGATTCGCCCCGAGTGGCCCCATGACTTACATTCTAAGATGTTTTTTTGTTCGAACGGGGGCGCTGCAATGCATTCTCTATGGCTTCCGGGAGGGCTCGCCCTAACGTGCTTACGTCATCATACGTGCTTACATCATCATACGTGCTTACGTCATCATATGTAAGCACGTTTCATCCAACAATATTATTTGTCGCCACCTAGTGGAATCTTTAATAAAAGAAACTTGAGTGGTTTGTTTTAATAGTGAGTATAGATACAAACAAGATGTATTGTAAGAGTCACTTTATTTTTCATTAATATTAAAGAAGTGAAGTTGCCTTTACATGCTTAAGCTGTTAATTTATCCATTGCATGGGTGGACCTTATCCTTATCAATCATCCAGACATTTGCCCCCCCTGAGAGATTTTGCAGGAGCCGCCACTGGTCCCGATGCAACTTCATCCAACATAGTCGGTGTGATCCCCTTAGAATCTTCCATGATCCTTCAGTTGAAGTCAGCAATGTCTCACGGATTTTGTCGCGTGCACACACACACACGTGGTGTTCGATGTAACTCGACCAGAGAAAATCCACTGGGGTTGTTTCAGGTGACCGCGGGGACCGTGCAATTGTTTCCACTTCGGTCAAGCCAACAAACGGCCATCCCTTTCGAACAATCCCGTACTGCACAAGGGCCGGGTTACGATATATCAGTGCGGTTTCTGTAGATGGAGCATCCTGTATTTTTTTCCAGCATTACATTCAGGGTTTTCTTCTATTTTTTTTGTATTTTTTCCAAAACCCGATTGACAATTCTACTAATTGGCATTATGTCGGAAAACGTCCATTGGGGATCCCCTCACAAAGCGACCCATTTGCATTTAAGAATGGCCTGGAGAAGCAAACTTCATTGAACTTTGTTCAAAATCCCTTGAAATTATTTTTTTAATCCACAAACTAAGCAGTGCGTTTTCCCACACACCCTGCTTCGAGAACATATTCCTAGCGTGGCAGCCAAACTGATATTTTTCATTCCCAGAGGTAGAATTTTGCGAGATTTAATAAAAACAAAATCTAAATTTTTACAGGTTTGTTACACAATCATTGGGGACCGGGCTAAGACCATCAGCTCGATGCACTTGAGAACCCGGTTTAATCACCGGCTGTGGCTCAAACTCAGATTCGAACCCAGAATACCATTGGTGCCTGCTCAGCGCTCTAACCCATGGGCCATTGGGCCACCTCCAACTGTCGTCACTTCCTGCTGTGAAATATTAACCGATAAAATGTTGTAGTAATATGTTTTGACCCTTTCAACTGGTACAAAAACTGACACCTTTATACAAGGAATCATGTTTGCAATAACCACAACACAAGCAGTCGAAATGCAAACAAAAAGAAACAACTGTGATAATGATATGCACTGTCCTTGAAGTTGATTGGTCCACACCCGAGACAGCTTTTCTTAGGCAAAGGAGATCTCATAGTGTAAATGCTTACCCCGAGGTCTCAATACTCTGATAGTGCGCTGTTTTTGAGTTTGTACGCCTTTTGGCGTCATCTGGTCCAACACCAATGGAGACAAGGCTCTAAGAAAAGCTGTCTCGGGTGTGGACTAATAAACTTCAAGGACAGTGCATATCATTATCAGAATTGTTGCTTTTTGTTTGCATTTTGACTGCTTGTGTTGTGGTAATTGCAAACATGATTCCTTGTATAAAGGTGTCAGTTTTTGCACCAGTTGAAAGGGTAAAAACCTATTACTATATTTAGCCACTGGTAAAGGAGATCTCATAGTGATAAAATGTTGTACATTTTATGAATCCTATTCTTGTGTGTACCAGCATATTGAGATAAACAAACGTGCGTATTTTTTTTGCGGGTATGAAAAAAATTAATGTGTTGTAGCTCTGCCTTAATTAACACGCCCTTGCTGGTTTTTTCTACATTGGAAGTCGCCAATTTCACCGCTTGTCAATTCGTAATGCGCGTTGACTGATTGCCACAAGGCCAAATGGCTTTACAGCGGCTATAAGTTGAATCGTACTTAAACGGTCAATGTTCAAGTTACGTTGACAAGCGATTATGGAAAACATGCCGCCACTTATGAAGAATTGGCCATGGCAGATGAAGGAAATCAACGAGGGACGTATCAAACGCACGCGGTTGGAATCCTCTCCAGTGACGTTTCGGTGTCAACGTTTGTTGTTCCTTGTTGGGCCTGCCACAATTCAAATAGGCGAGAGTTATGAATTTGTCATGAACTAGATTAACACGTAGGCTTTCGCGACCAATATCATCCATAATAGAGGTTTTTTGGGTTAGATCGCGGCGTAAATATATGTGTTGTCACCACATCTACACCTCTATATAAGAAACGAAACAGATGGACTTCTCCACAAATCTAGCTGTCGCCTGATGAAGCTAGTTGTAATTACTGGCGAAGCATCGTACTCAGATTGTAAATGTTGTGGCTTGGCTCTCCAACACACCGGTGTGCTGTACTAGTGACGAATTGGCCACGTTCTGTTTACGTGACAACTCTTACTAGTTGGCTGTGTCGGGTGGTGGCGGGTTTTAACGACACATTTATATATTTACGCATTCTAACCCAAAAATGATTACGTCATTAACTAAATTGTCAAGTGTAGAGCATTTATCCATGGCCTCTTTCCCGAGTTACAGACCAGCCCGCCGCTGGTCACATTCAATTAGGCCTGACATTGTTCAAGCGCATCCTCCTCGTAACTGTAACATTAAGGGTCAGCGCTCACGTGAATGCTACTGTAGATTAAAAAAAACATAAGCAAGTTTTTTTTATTTGCTCGGTCTTGTTTAACAAATCGTATGAAGTATGTATCGTTTTATTTATTTACGCAATATGTGCTCGGCGTAACTTCCATCGATGAAAAGAGGGGCGTGCATTTTAGAGACGCAAATAGTGAAGCATCACCGACCCAGTGTTGTTAATCCTCAAAACGTTTGCTAACGGCGAAATGCTTTTCGAGAAGAAAGGGCAACGGGAAAACGCATCGATGGGACGGAAACCGCAATGGATAAACGCACGTGGAGGGGTGGACACATGCGCACACAAAAAAAGAACCATCAATCATATTCCAACATTGTAAGTAGGGATGTAACAATTTGTTGATTGGCGGGGTTTATTGCACTTATGATACGTGCAGAACATTGCCCGTGTAGGATATAACTCACGTTTTTACGATTTGTGCGTGTCCATCGTTTTTTTTTTCTGCTGCACAGTATATTTATGCCGCTATAGATTTCTCAGATTCGTACAGCTGCATATTTTATTTTGTACATTCATGGCGATGTGTATTTTATATTTAGCACGAGGGCAAACGACAGCAAAAACGGAATCCTGAAATCGAATCGCGACCTTGAATTGTGACAATTCATTGAATCGTTGAGGCTTTGATCATTCCGTGCCTAATGTCAAACAAAATTTTGATTTTTAGGTACAATTTTCTGGAAGTAAATAGTGGATGTATTTAGTCGTAAACGCTGAAAGTTATTTATCTGGCAAGACATAAAAAATGGATGATGACGCAGACAGTGCTCTTCATGATAAGTGATAATGGTAACAATAAATCAGATTCATATCGTGACTTTAGTTATTGTTGTTGTTGAACCACTTCAAGGCACCTAACAATGAAACTATACATCATATCGTACCGCACTCGGTTGTTAATCATGCAGCAATAAACCGATTTCAAGCGCCTGTGCTTACTTTTAATATTCCTTCCCACGTTTTGATGAACCAGACAAAGAAGGGCATGACCACAGTTGCGTTGAAAGATGATTTCGTGATGTTTGAGCTGATTTGACAAAAAAACACTGTTACTGACACCAGCTGCAGGGGTCAGCGGGACACCTGGAGATGGGAGTCTGGCTTGTACTGAATTCCATGAGATGGATTTTGGGGGGGGAGGGTTTGGCTCTTCCCTTCCGTGGTGACCCAATCCGGATTGGGAGACGTTCATCTTAAATCAGTTCCCTTTTCATCTTATTGGTTCTTTCGGTAAAGTCACGTAGAAGGGAAATAATAAAATAATAAAAAATAAAACATAATGTTGATAAATTCTTTTAATATTTTAGAATATTAAAAATAAAACACAATATTAATTACTTTACAATGTTTTATTTTTATTAATTTATTATTTCCCTTCTATATGACTTTACCGAAAGAACCAAGAAGATGAATCCCTGCAGTCACGAAAGCTTTAAATCGAAAAAGTTCCCTTTTCCTCGGCCGGCTGCCTTCCAAAGCTACCAAGGCCTCATCTATCCCGGGTTTTGAAATCTGAGTTGTATTCTTCTGCTGCACGCAGCTGGTTCATGGCACCTTCTTTCCGTGCTATCTGGCCAAGACCACTCTGGGTGTTTTCCCCAGAGAGGAGTTCCTCATCCACCACCCAGTGGGGACGTGCCCCAACACCGCCGTATCCCAGCGACGGGTTCAAGGAGATTAACCCGTGCACGTCCAGAGATTGCCTTCTCAAAAAACAAAGATGTTGAATTTGTGATGACAACGATGATGATGATGCCCAGTACAGTATTTATTTAGTTACTTACTTATTTGCAAAGCGCCGTGTCACGATACGTTGTGTTCTATGGCAGGCTTGTTTGTATTTGTCATTTTTACAGGTTCTTTTTCCACGACCGGCCTATCAACGTCATGTCACGAGATGAAGTATCTGTCGGGTGTCTCGCAGAGCAGTACAACCCTTCATTCTTAACAGTTTTTTTTTTGTGTTTAGTTTGTTGTCCTTCCCCCGTACCTCCAATTAGCATGCCTTGCTACGTACGGTGCGTGAGAAATTAAACGTACATACTTACAATGGCCCCTGGAAGTGGAAGGTATCTTTTAGCAAACCTGAGACCACAACGTCGCAATGGCAGGCTTGTCTGTCGAAATCAGTGATGGCAATTTTTTTTTCTAATCTTGATGATGATGATGGCGGCGGCGGTGATGGTGATGCTGTTACCTTGTGTGCGTGTGCGTACGTGCGTGTGATGGGGAGCGGTAGTGTAGCGGTTAGCGCGCTGCGCTACGAACCCGGCGACACGAGTTCCATTCCCGCTCACGGCCAACACCAGTGACGATTATCTGAACCGGTCCCGGGCCTCCCCTAGGTCGACTCAGCCTCAAATGAGTACCTGGTGCGGTGTGTAAATATTGCGGTCGGGCGTGGTGCTCGCCACCCACCCCCTCGTGTACCGTTCCGACCTTCATAGGTGCTCGCTAACAGCACTTGCCCCTACAGTCTGTTAAGGCTATACGGGGAATCTTTGTCTTTGATCTTTGTGTCTCCCGGCAGGCGTGTGTGTTTGTCACCGTGAGCGCGGACGACGCAAACCGCGGAGAAACGCTGAGCACATTGCAGTTTGGCTCCTCCATCCGTCAGGTGGCACTGGGCACCGCAGCGCAACGAGTTACTCCGGCCAGGACCAAGCCCTGAGCTGGGCGCGCCCGTGGCGTGGACCGCCGCCGCCGCCGCTGCCTTCCCCCGTATCTAGGCGTCGCCTCCAGGCATCGTCGTTCAGACGCGGTCAAGCCACCGCTTGCGTGAAGGCGTGGTGAAACCGCAGCCGCCTCTCATGAACCCTGCGTTGTTATTATTTGACTCGGCACCACTACCTGCACGCCAACAAAAGCACATTTTAACAGCATCACCACCACCGCCGCCGCCATCATCATCATCATCAAGATAAAAGAAATGTCATCACTGATTTCGACAGACAAGCCTGCCAATGCGTCGGATTCCTCCGGTGTAATTAAATATTCTAAGCTGATTAAGGGAATCACGATGTATACAATAGGCTGATATGAACCAACGTATAAATGTGTTTATGGAAAATTGTATAGTGCTTGCAAGCAATATCCGGTATAGTACTCGATTAAGATTGAGAGCCACATTTGGAGTTTATTAGTGGGACATCCCAACACTCGTAGCTCTGTGTGTGCAGCCGGTGCCGCTATTGTATTTTATACCTTTCCAGACCTCTTGAAGAATGCCCACAGCAGCTGTCTACCCAGCAGTATGAATGAGTAGCCCACCGTCGATTGGCAGGTCGTGTGTGGGTGCTCCCGCCACTTCCAAGACACCTGGAAGGCCAAGTTACCCTCGAGGGGAGGCCCTTCTGCCACCAGTGGCATACGCAAGGCATTTCAGGGCTGCATCTTTGTACTCTTCGTAATATGCTGCACGTTTCAGTGTGCCAAACACACAGTTATTACTCTTTGGTTCTTTCGGCAAAGTTACGTAGAAAGAAAATTTATTAAATCATTATTATTTTCTATAATAATTCTAAATAATAATTTATTTTCTTTCTACTTCACTTTACCGAAAGAACCAAAGAGTAATTCCTGCTGTCACGAAAGGTTCAAATCTAGTTTGAAATCCAGTTTTTTTTAAATAAATCCGTTATAATTCAAGCCGCTTTTTCACACGTGCTGTTGCACTTCAGGGACTATGCAAAAAATGCAATAATTATTCTTTTAATGTGTTTATTACCGGACGGGTAAATGCAGCGTGACTAACGGCAGTGTCTCATAAACAAAAGTAGGAACGAGCGCGAACACGCGAGTCACCCTTCACGAGGCAGCAGCAGGCTAGGGCACCTAACGAGGGCTAGATTTATCCCCTCGGTTGCCCGTAGCTTTCGAAAACTTGTGCGCAGACTCCGTCGCATTGTCGGCTTAATTCTTAGCCGCTCTCTAAGTTTCACGAGCGAGATAATCAGCGGTGAGTGGGTCGGGACCGGTGTACCTTCTGTTCGGACGTGACCAGACGCACACCCGGCAAGGGTGCGAACCCTTCCTAAATACCCGACGTATCCGTGCGTACGCTTCCAAGTCTCGAGCACAAGCCCATCTATCGCGGCGTGATTCAAGCACGCCCGCACGGCCCTCACTTTCGCAGAATCATTTGGTCATTCCTAAGCGGTGAGGCATTCAAGGCAACGGTGGCTTTTAAAAGAAGCGACAAGTACCGTATAATCCGGCGTGGAACAATTCAACCCAATTGTTCCAATTCAACCCAATGGTTCCAATTCAACCCAATTGTTCCAATTCAACCCAATTGTTCCAATTCAACCCTATTGTTCCAATTCAACCCAATTGTTCTTATTCAACCCAATGGTTCCAATTCAACCCAATTGTTCCAATTCAACCCAATTGTTCCAATTCAACCCAATTGTTCCAATTCAACCCAATTGTTCCAATTCATCCCAATTGTTCCAATTCAACCCTATTGTTCCAATTCAACCCAATTGTTCCAATTCAACCCAATTGTTCCAATTCAACCCAATTGTTCCAATTCAACCCTATTGTTCCAATTCAACCCAATTGTTCCAATTCAACCCTATTGTTCCAATTCAACCCTATTGTTCCAATTCAACCCTATTGTTCCAATTCAACCCAATTGTTCCAATTCAACCCTATTGTTCCAATTCAACCCAATTGTTCCAATTCATCCCAATTGTTCCAATTCAACCCAATTGTTCCAATTCAACCCAATTGTTCCAATTCATCCCAATTGTTCCAATTCATCCCAATTGTTCCAATTCAACCCAATTGTTCCAATTCATCCCAATTGTTCCAATTCAACCCAATTGTTCCAAATCATCCCAATTGTTCCAATTCAACCCAATTGTTCCAATTCAACCCAATTGTTCCAATTCAACCCTATTGTTCCAATTCAACCCAATTGTTCCAATTCATTTAATTGTTCCAATTCAACCCAGTTGTTCCAATTCATCCCAATTGTTCCAATTCATCCCAATTGTTCCAATTCATCCAATTGTTCCAATTCATCCAATTGTTCCAATTCATCCAATTGTTCCAATTCATCCCAATTGTTCCTTTTCAACCCAATTGTTCCAATTCATCCAATTGTTCCAATTCATCCAATTGTTCCAATTCATCCCAATTGTTCCTTTTCAACCCAATTGTTCCAATTCAACCAAATTGTTCCAATTCATCCAATTGTTCCAATTCATCCAATTGTTCCAATTCATCCAATTGTTCCAATTCATCCAATTGTTCCAATTCATCCCAATTGTTCCCATTCATCCCATTGTTCCAATTCATCCCAATTGTTCCAATTCATCCAATTGTTCCAATTCATCCCAATTGTTCCAATTCATCCCAATTGTTCCAATTCATCCAATTGTTCCAATTCATCCAATTGTTCCAATTCAACCCAATTGTTCTTATTCAACCAATTGTTCTAATTCAACCCAATTGTTCCAATTCATCCAATTGTTCCAATTCCACCCAATTGTTCCAATTCAACCCAATTGTTCCAATTCAACCCAATTGTTCAAATTCAACCCAATTGTTCCAATTCATCCCAATTGTTCCAATTCATCCAATTGTTCCAATTCATCCCAATTGTTCCAATTCAACCCAATTGTTCCAATTCAACCCAATTGTTCCAATTCATCCCAATTGTTCCAATTCATCCCAATTGTTCCAATTCATCAAAAAATGGCCCATTTTGTAGTTGCTCGCCCGAGCTATAAATGCCCTGATAGTAGCATTGTCTTTGTACTGTTCGTCTTTTGGCATTCTCTGGTCTGACACTGGTAGTGATACTAGGCCCGAAAGAAATCTGTCTCTGGTGTAGACCAATCAGTTTCCAAGACAACGCATATTATAATCAGGGCGTGTTTTGTTTGCATGTTCACTACAAGTGTGTGTGGCTAACGCAGCCATGATTCCTTGCAAAAGGTTTCTATTCGGTGTTTAAACATCTTAACATAACTGTTTTATTGCCAGAAAATTTTAAAACTATTCTTGTTTTTTTATGCTTTGATACTGGCAAAAAAGGTCCCATTTTGTTCACACTTCATACGTTTGACGATACCTGCATTTCACATAAATATGCTAAATTCCTCTTGATATGCATATTTTTTTGTTAAGGCGCCCTTTCCCCCCTTCCAACCCAGCTAATATATATGCTCCAAGCACGTGTGCTGTTTCATTCAGATGCTGTCGCCTCGACAGACCTGGTTTTCACCTGAGGACGGCTGCTTGCGTTGTCGTCGAAACGTCGTGAGAATTATTTTATTATGTTTTATTTTTATTATTCTATTACTTCCCTTCTACGTGACTTTACCGAACGAACCAAGAAGATTCTTAAAAGCTCACTATACATGTCTAAGGATCGATGGTTATTCTGTCTCTACGCGATGTCGTCCCTGCAGCCATTAGAGGCTCTATTAGTTATTCCATGCGCCAAATATTGAACTTGTCAGGGCCACCTGAGGTGGCCTAACACTCGTGGTTACTTTTTATCGATGTGGCCAACAAGATTGAATGAGATGATAGCCGTTGGAAGTTTTGTGGGTTATCAAAAAATGTACTCTTATTGGCTATATAAATAAATTGATATGACTAAAGTTTTTCAATATGAGGTGATAACTGTTTACGTTCTGGCCCGTGGACTACCACTGCAAAGAACATAATTGAATCTCTAATTGAGTCACAACTGAATGGTGTGAAATCGTCAAATTGGTTGGTGGGGGTGGGGTGTGTGGGGGGATGAATTTTATCACCCCGACTTTTTGTGCAAAAATAATGAGAATAGCAAAACGCTCAAAAAAATATTGAAATATAAATGTGAATCGATTGATTCGAGGATAGTAAATGTCAATTATTACTTTACTATGAGCCATTTGTAGGTAATTCATCATGCCTCATTGCAGGAGTAATGGCCCTAATGAGATCCCGTGGCTCGCAATTACGCCATGATTGCTGGCCTTTTGTGAGCAATATCGGCCTGGCACTGTGATGCCAAGCTGTCCATGACTGTACTTTAATGGCCCATCTGATGAGAAAAACAACCATCGTCAACTTGACGACGTGATAAAACACTTTTCTTTTGGGGTGATGCTAATGCCCGTACAATACGCCACTTACAGATAAGAGCACGTTAAACGTGGGCCTGCACTCTGCGCTTCGGAGGATTCGGTGTTAGCGCCTATTAAGTGTAATTGATTGCTGAAAATGACACTAATTTTCCTGTTATAGAACTTATAATTAACGGAATAATTCCCCATAAAAAACGTGGAGGCCGACGCAAAATGTGTTGTAGCCAAAGCCTGAAAAGCGCGCAGATAAGCACAAGGAGCCACGGCGCTTGACATTTACAACGACAGGCGAGACACTGGAGCGTGCGGAGCGCAGAACCAAATGCTAATAGGAGGTGCATCGCATAGATTGTCCGGGGAAGGCGAACGGGGCTTGGGCACATGACGCATCACTGGGGGGGGGGGGGGAGGAATGACAGGCCGGTGCTCGAGAACTGACGATGAAATTGGCAGCTGAAGGAATGAAAACACCAGAGAGAGAGCCACCGTGGAGACGGTGCAGCGAAGCCATCGGCTCACGTGCCGGGGCGAGACAGATTGCTCCAACTCGAGGCCGTGACACATGGAGGAATCTTCGGGGGAGCGGAGGCCGTGATCCAGCAGTGGATTGAATGCGGCTTGATGGAAGCGATCTTGAATGAACGTGTTTACAATGACATTATCCGGAAAAGCGGTTTATCTGGTGTATTTATGTTATTCGGTAGATGAGCCCAGCAAGAAATATACGCACAACAACAAAAAAACAAGATGTGTGTGACCCAAGTGTGCAATGAAATCACGTGAAGATAAATTTTTAACATAGAGTTTACTGTAGAGGAAATATTTAGCCTGAAAATCATCAACAAACTGTGATCTTCTTGGTTCTTTCGGTAAAGTCATGTAGAAGGGAAATAATAAAATGATACAAATAAAACATAATAAAATACAATTCTCACGACGTTTCGGCCACAACGCAAGCAGCCGTCCTCAGGTGAAGAACAGGGCTGTCGGAAAGACAGACCTGTGGCCAAAACGTCGTGAGAATTGTATTTTATTATGTTTTATTTTTATCAATTTATTATTTCCCTTCTACGTGACTTTACCGAAAGAACCAAGAAGATGAATTCCTGCATTAACGAAAGCTTTAAATCGAAACAAACTGTGAGTTAAATAAAAGTATATAGGTTAACTGAGATTGCTTTGATATATAAATGCTACTGGGTGACGGCAGACATTTGAGTTCATAATGGATTTTGTATATTCGTGATTTTGTGCCGTTGTAATTGTATACCGTTGCACAACTTTGCATACCTCTCTTAACTGGTGTAATAAATGTTGCTCTTTAGTTTCACGGGGGAAAAAAAACGCTCACTGAGTCTCGAGAGTAATTTTCATGGGTGTTTTAAACATCGGGCCGTTTGGGACAT